GCAGAGGGGTTCCCCCAGTGCTGGAATCCTGGGGGATGGTGAGAATTTTAAACTTTCTGTGCTTAAAGACACAGACCCACAGGAGAACACTGCATTTGACCTGAGGTTGTAGAACAGGCTTTTATAATTTATTAACAGCACTAAGATTACGGGTGTGTAGTTAGCTGGAAGTCTGTAATATCAAAGGGTAGAAAACTTAAGAGTTTAGGATTTTAGAATATAGAAATAAACATGAAGCAAGATAGAAGTTTCAGGGCAGAAGCAAGTTGTTCTACTTTACCACCTTCTTCATGAGTTTAGGTGATGTTTTGTAATTAGGCAGAGAAGTCTGCATTGCAGGCTTTGAGGGATCAGTTATTAAGTTAAAAGAGAAAATAATCTGTGTCCTTTCTTAATTAGACAGCTTTAAAAAACCTTGTAACAAGAGTTAGTTAGCCATTTTATGCCTTACTAATGAAAAAGCTGCTGAACTAACATAGATAAGAAATAATAAACATAAAATACTGTCTCAAGTACCTTCAATCCCAACCTCAAAAGACTCAATAGCCCAGTACCTGCTGCTTCAGCTGGTGCAGCTCAGCTGCCTGGGGGTCCACGTTGACGATGGGTTTGTTTTTGATCTTCCTGGCCCTGTCAGCATAGCGCAGAGTGTTCAGGGTCTCCTCCAGGTTGGAATCTGCTGGGCTCACACAGGCGATCATCAGCGTGTGGCTGTTCCCACCCAGGGAGTCTGGGAAGGAGAAGGAACAATGGCAAAGCTGTCAGGGTCACAGTGACAGTGAAATGTCACCCTTCAAGGGTTCCAACCATCCCCAAATTGTGGATTAAACAGCTGGATTTTGGTGAAGCTCATCACTTTGTCCTCTGCACGCTCAGTTCTGTATTAAAATGCAAGCCAAAGGAAGGGTTTGAAACCAAAGGTTTCACCCCAGAAGCCCCAGTTGCTGCCCTAATAAATAATTTCGTTATGCCATTTCTGGCCTGGTTCTTTCAGGTTTGCCCCTCCCTTCTCCCCCCAGTAACAAGACCTCCATGAATATCCAGAGTTTTCTCCGATTTAAGGAATTTTTGGCTAAGAACAGATCACAAAGATGCACAGAACTTCATCCTTTGGTTTTATACAAATTGGTTCTTAAAGCTACTGATAAAAAAAAAAAATACAACAAACCAGGGGCCCCACATCCAGATTTTAATGAGTACTTTCAGACATGGAAAATACTGAAGAGAATTTGTACCATGTTATGTAATTACCACGAAAATCCCAGTAATTTTATTACTAAAGCTGTGCCCAAATTAAAGGGTAACTAACTTAAATAAAATGCACTGAAAGACAAATTCCAGCTATTAAAAAATAAGGACAAGATATTCAGACTAAGAGAACAAATCCCAGGGAAGGCACAGACAGCTGGAGCTTCATTCTGGCTGTGACATCACCCAGGGAGTTGCTATAATTAAGGTACAATAATAAGAACTCTGCTCCCAGACTTCTCCTCTTCCTTCTCCCCACCAGAAATATGCCCTGATTTTATCTTGTTTCCTCCTGTCACACAAAGTGCAGGAGAGCAGGTCTTGTTTTGAGCTCATCTCACTACATTTGCAACCTAAATTAAGAGTCGAGGGAAGGCCTGGCTTCAGTGAGGAATTAAACAAATCCCTTTGCAGCAGCAGCTCTGAGCTGGGGGGTTTCCTCCTGCTTTGTTATTTAAAAAGCACCTGTAAATTTAGGCTTTGCCATCATCTTCTCTCACCTTGCAGCAGCCTGGTCAGCTTAGAGTCTCTGTAGGGGACAAACCCTCCCTTTTTATTCTCATCTCCCAGAGCACTGATGACATTCCCCAGGCACAGGAGGCCTCTGTTGATGTTGATTCCTGCAGACAAAGCTCACAGTGAGCACAGGCACTTCAACAGCTCCAAACGCCTCATTTCCTGCCCTTATTAAAAATTTAACAAGGTTTAAAAAAAGCAGATTGAAGAGTTAAAGAAGTGCTGTGCTCTTTTATTAAGTCCCAAGTGAGAAGAAACCCAAACTCCACCAGTTCCAGCCCAGAGACCTTCTTTGAGTCTGTCTCCCTCAGCCTTGGTCTTCTTTTGTCTCTCAGAGCCTGCAAGATCCACCAGGTGCAGCTTGCAGTGAAAACTGCAATTCCTAAGGCAGAAAGAATCTGGGTTACTCTCCCAGGTAAACTTCCAGGTGGAAAAGGAGCAGCCCAGGAACTGAAAATTCAGAGAGCCAAAACCTGAACTGCCTTGAAAAGTACAGCTCAGGAGCAGGATGAGGAAATTTTGGGAAAGGAACTCTCATCAGCTGCACAATGACACTCACTTGTCATTTTTCTTCTTCTGATCGATGCAGATGGTGAAGATGGCATGGGATCTGGAGGACTGGGAATTCATGGCCGTGGACCCCACAGTTCTGGAGTTGTTCCCCTGCTCCAGGCAGGACACAGTCTCTTGGGCACAGGTGACATTTCTTTCTGTCAGCCCCACAATCTGTAGGGAGGAAGCAAACATTGTTTAGTCTCTGCTTCCCCTTCATCCCACCTGAGATCAGAAAAATCTCCCTGCCCCTCAGGCTGTGCCAGCCAATTCCCAAGAATCACCTCCAGCCAGGAAAAACTGGTTCTGAGTTTCACTTCAGGAACATGGAATCACATCACCTGTTCCTAAACACTCCCCAAGTTCCTCTTCCTGCTCCAGAGCCAGCTGGGCTCTGGGGTGGAGCCAGAGCTCCTCAGAGCTCCAGGGACAAATCCATGGATATCCCAGGCCAAGCTGGGAGCTGTGCCAGTTACGGGAAGGGGCTGATGGGGAGGGGATCTGTGTGAATAAAGTGACACAAACCAGAGAGGGGATGAGCAGGAGGGGCTGGATGTACTCTTTGGCAAACTGTGCTTTCCCTGGACATCCAGCCCCCTGGATCTCTCTGTGCTGCTCCCAACATATGGATGAGCCCCATCCCACTGCTTTAAGGATGACAGGAAATCCCATATGAACCCCTTCAGTCCCCAGCAGGGCAGACCTTGATGCCTTCCTTGGGATCCTCCCGGATGCTGATCTGGGAGCGCTCTCGGGAGGGGCACAGCAGGTCCAGGATGTCCTCATTGTAGATCTGGAAGCAGCAGCTCAGAGTTACCAGCCAAAGAAAGGAGCAATTATACTGAAATTAGGGCTAATTTAGCATCACATTTCACCTTTAGGGAAAGACACCTTGCACCAGAAAGGACTGACAAAACCTCCTTAGGGGAGTCTTAGGGTTTGATTTAATCAATATCTGTTACCCGAAGGAGGTGACCTCAGTTTATTCCTAACTTGATAAAACCCAAACTTTTACCTCCAAATAGGAAACTTTGAGGATGAAGTCCCAGTCCTGCCTTTGCTGTTTCTCCTCAAAGAGCAGCTTGATGACCCTGGGGATGACCCCCACGCTGGGCTCATGCTCCTGGTTGGCAGTGTAGGTGCCTCCCATGGAATAGGTTTTCCCTGACCCTGTCTGTCCATAGGCCAAGACAGTGGCATTGTATCCTGAGGGAACAAAGGGAGAGTCACGTGGAGACTGAAAGCAGCATTTTTTTTAAAACCACCGTTACAGAAAATTATCAGTTTACACAAGTTTTAAGCATAGATCACAGTCAGGAATATTGAGGTAATGAAAGCTTAATAAAGCACAGTATTTCAGCTCTTTGTTAAGACTGGATGTTTTATTAAAACTAAACAGAAACACAGCACAAATTCCCTGTGGTCCCAGCTTCACAGCAGCGTCCTGGAACAGGATGTTTATCAATCCATTGTGTTATTTTTAAGAAGGGAGAGGAACTTTTTATAATGGCTTGGAGTGACAGGACAAGGGGGAATTGCTTCCTACTGCCAGAGGAATATTGGGAAGGAATTGTTCCCTGTGAGGGTGGGCAGGCCCTGGCACAGGGTGCCCAGAGAAGCTGCCCCTGGATCCCTGGAAGTGCCCAAGACCAGGCTGGACAGGGCTTGGAGCAGCCTGGGCTGGTGGAAGGTGTCGCTGCCACGGCAGGGGTGAAATGGAATGAGCTTTAAGGTCTGTTCCGACCCAAACTCCTGTGGCATTCCACGAGGACGGCCTGACACGGGCAGCCTCGGAGAACGCACCCCCCCGCTCTGCGGAGAGGAGCGGGCTCCGAACGGGCCCAGCCCGCCACCAACCTTTGAAGATGCCTCGGACCAGCGGCGACACCGCGGTGTTGAAAACCTCCTCCTGCTCCACGGACGGGTCGAACACGTAGTCGTAGGTGAAGGCTTTGTCGTTGCCCACCACGACCTGCGGGCGAGAGGGACGGGGCAGCGCTGGCGCCGGGCCGCGGGGCCCCCGGGCGCCCCCGGGGCTCACCCACCTGCGGCTCCCCGGGCACGAAGGACAGGCACATCCGGCAGCCCTCGCCGGTCTCCTTGGGCACCAGCGGCCGGCAGCGCAGCGCCACGCGCACCGGGATGCCCTTCTCGTCCTCCCGCACCATGGCCGGCCTGCGGGACATGAGCGCCGTGAGGCGGGCCGGGACGCACCGAGCGGGGCCCTGCCCGCGCTGCGGGGCGTGGAGCGGCGGGGAAGCGGGCCCGGGGATGGAGGAGGGGGCGGGGATGAAGCAGCAGCCCCGGGGCGGAGCGGAGCGGGCCCGGCCGGCCCTGCCCGGTGTCGCGGGGCGGCCGCGGGACTGACCTGGAACCGCCGCCGCCGCCCGGCCCGATGGCAGCGCCGCAACGGCCGCCGTTCAAACCGGGCCGCGCGCGCCGCGCCCAATCACCGACAGGGACGGCAGGCGGGGCGGCGCCGCAGCCAATCGCGGCGCCGTGCGTCACCGAGCGGCGCGGCGATAGCCAATCGGAGAACGTTGCGTCACGCGGGGCGGAGGGTGAGGGTGGTACGGCGCGAGGAGCGGGGAGGAGGGTGGGGCGGAACCAATCGCGTGCGGGTGCGTCAGGCAGGGGGCGGGGCGAGGGGCGCGCCTCGGCCAATCGCAGCGCGGTGCGTCGGGCGCGGGGCGCGTCCCGGGCGCGGCGGAGCGGCAGCATGGAGGGCCGGGTGCCCTACGACGACTTCCCGGTGGTTTTCCTGCCGCCCTACGAGAGCCCGCCCGCCTGGGTGCCGCCGCACGAGGTCAGCCCGGGGCGGGGGGAGCGGGGCACGACCCGGGGGTGGCGGTGGCGGCGGCGGGCGGGGGAGCCCGGCCCGGCCCCGGCTGAGCCGCCGCGCGTCCCCCGCAGCGCGTGTATCACCCCGACTACAACAACGAGCTCACGCAGTTCCTGCCCCGCACCATCGTGCTCAAGAAGCCGCCCGGGGCGCAGGTGAGGCGGGCGGCGCCGGCCCGGCGCTGCCTGGGCGCGGTGAGGCGTTCCCGGAGCGCTCGGTGGCGGGAGAGGCGCTGGGATCGCGATGTTCCCGTCCTGGCGCAGGGAAGGGCTGTGACAGGCGGGGGGCGAGGGTTGTTCCCGATGGGGTTGGTATATTGGGATGTGGAGCTGCTGGAGGATGGGAGCGGGTTCCCAAGGGTGTTCCCGGTGGCAGGAATCAGGAGGGAGGGCTGGCGCTGCTGCCTGGCTGGGCACCGCTGCACCCACGCCGTGGATCCGCCCAGGAGCAGGGCAGGGAGGGCGATCCTGCGGTATTGGAAGGGCCCTGGACAGGGGGAAGAATCCTGGGGAATGGAAAGAGAACCGGGCCAAGGGAAGGGTCCTGGTGACTGCGTTTTCCTGCTGGCTTTTCCCACAGCTGGGCTTCAACATCCGAGGAGGAAAAGCCTCGCAGTTGGGAATCTTCATCTCCAAGGTGTGTCTGTCCTTGTGCCGTTCCCGCCCCGGATCCTGCCCGTGCCGGTGGGAGCAGCTGAGCCCGCGGGGTGGGCAGGGAGGCTCTGGCTGCCTCAGAACATCCTGCTCCACTCCCTGGCCTCCTCCCGGCCCCTGGAATTGCTCCCGGGGGCAGTGTGGGAGGGCAGCTGTGGGACATGCCCTGCTGCCATCCCTGCTCTCCCTTCCCAGGTGATTCCCGACTCGGATGCTCACAGGGCCGGGCTGCAGGAGGGGGACCAGGTGCTCTCGGTGAACGATGTGGATTTCCAGGATATTGAGCACAGCAAGGTGAGCGCTGGGATGGGAAATCCACCTCCTTGCAGCCTCTGAGCCCAGCACAGAAGCCATGGAATGCTCTGTCCTCGTTTTCCAGGCCGTGGAGATCCTGAAGACGGCGCGGGAGATCACAATGCGCGTCCGGTACTTCCCCTACAGTAAGTGCCCAGTCCTGGGGTGCTCCTTGGGAAGCAGATTTCCATAAATCCCTGCCCATTCCACCCGAGTTGAGCAGCCCAAGGTCACTGATTGTTGATTTGGGATCAGGCACCACATCAGGATAATGAGGCCGGGCTTCATCTGCCCACGCAGGAGAACTCAGAGAGCAGGAAGGTGAGATGGTTGGGAATGGAAAAGTTAATTTCAAGCTCATGAATTTCAGCTAATTATACTTGAATAACATAGAAACAAGGTTTGGCACAGGTCCCAGTGGTGGATATCCCTCCCAAAGGATGTTTGAATTGTGAGTGAAGGGAAGGATTGGGTTAACTCCCAGTTTCTGCTTCTGCACCTATAAAGTTCCAAGATTTAAGAAATAAAAAAAGGAAGAAGTCAAGCCAAACAAGGATTCTTCATAGAATGGAAAGTGGCCATTAGGAAGGAAAAAAAAGGAGTAGGGGAAGAGGGGGTTTAGAACAGATCATTTAAAACAAAGCATTTTGTTCTAAATGCCCTAAAATCACTTGAAATTACTGCTGGGGGTACACTTGGAAAGCCAGAGGGTATCAAACGCTGCCTCCACTTGGGAATGTGTGTTTTCCTGAACATTTTGGGTGATTGCCCCTGGCCATGCTCTCCTTGTCCCTCCCTCCCAGATTACCAGCGGCAGAAGGAACGGACAGTTCACTAACAGGGAGCTTCATCCTGCCAAAACCTCTCCACTCCTTTTTCCCAGCGTCTGAGATGACTCCTCACGTTTCAGCTTTCACTGGAGGCACCACTGGCCTGCACAGGATCAACTCTTTCCCACAGGGGGAGATGCCCAGGGGCTCATTTGGCTGGAAGATGGATGGGGATTGAGGCTGTGCTCCTGGGAATGGGTGTTGGGAAAAGCTGGTGTGAGGTGGGTCCTAGGGGGCAGCTGCTCCAGCAGGATCCAGATTTTAGCAAGACTTTAATTAAGTGAGCTCTGGGCTGGTTCTGGATCCCTTGATCCTGGATCCCTGGTTGTTGAGCACTCCTGAGCAGAGCACAGGCATTGTTCCACTCTCTTGTGCCATGGAATTCTTCCCTTCTCCTCTGTCCCAGCTCTGCTCTGCATTGCTGGGTTTGCTGGCAACTCCAGGAGTAAAATTCAGCCCCAGTTTGTGCACAGCCCTGGCTGTTTGTGCCTCTTTGCTGATAAAACCCCCACAGTATAGGACTGGGAGTCTGGAAATATTAATTACCAAGGAAATTATCAGCAAATCCAGGGGCAAATGCCTGGTGGGATAACGTTGTAATGGCTTCAGGACAGCCCTGGTTCTGACCTTCTCTTCCTTGTGGTGTTTTTCACTTTTTCTGTAAAAACAATCAATAAATCAAGTACAGCAGCCCGACTTCAGCTTCATCCCACTCAGGAAGTCTGTGTGGAGGTTGGGATGTACCCACCATGAGCACCATTCCAAGGAAATGCTGGGACAAGGCTCAGCTCCACTCAACCTTGCAGCCTGCAGGAGAAAATTTGGGATCTGCAGCTGTTTCAGGGGCTTTTTCCACTGACTCTGCTGGAAAAATCAGCCCCTGATTAACCTGGAGTGTGTTCCAGCACTGCCAGGAAGGAGCAAGGCAGGATCGTGGCTCTGGTGGCACCAACCCAACTCCAGGAGCAGGGCAGGTCACTGAGCCAGGCTGGGAACGAGGAAAAGACACTGGAAAAGAGATTTTCACTCTGAATTAAATATTAGCTTTTCCACGAGGGGAATGAAGATCCTGGAAGTCCCTTCAACAGTCTGGGAAAGGGAAGGAGACCTCTTGTATCACCTGTCTGTTTTCCCAGAATCTCTGTGTTCCATAGGGAAGGAGGAGCTGCAGATGCAATTTCAAGGTTGAATTTGTCCCTCCTGCTTCAGAGCATTCCCTGGCAGGAGCTGCAGGAAGGTCTCCCCTGCCCCAGGCAGCTCCTCCCAAGGAATGACTCAGGTGTTTTCCTGCTGACCTGGCTGACAGGAAAGGGTGGATTCTTTCCCAAGGCATGCTCTTGTTTTGGGTATGTTAATTAGCAAAGCATTAAGGCCACCAGAATCTATTTCATCCTCCAGAACTCGAGCAGTTACTGATTCCTGGTGGGAAAAAAACAGCTCCAGCAACACTGGGTTTTTTTAGTGACTGACAAAACGGAGCTGAGAGGCACAAATTTGTAGAATCAAGGAATGGTTTGGGTGGGAAGGATCATCCATGGGACAGGGACACCTCCCACTAGCCCAGGTTGCTGCAAGCTCCATCCAGCCTGGGCTGGACACTTGCAGGGATGAAGGGAGCACTGCCAGGGGTTCAGCTGCAGGGAAGCAGCACTGGCAGAGTCCAGCAGGTCCTTCTGGAGCAGCAGGATCAGTCCCAGGTGTGCTGCAGGGCAGGGCTCACCTGAGGGCTCCAGGAGCCACGTGCTCCTGGCTCCAGTCATGTTTGGAGCCACAGGATCCTGTGCTGCTATCCCAAAATAGGGATCCTTCTTCCCAGGCTTTGGTAACCTCTCCCAGGGCTGAGATCATACAAGCACGTCCAGCCCTAAACCTCAGTGAGGCAATTCCACCCACAAGTCCAACACCTGGACATCACTTCCAGCTCATTGCCTGCTGAATTTCTTGGATTAAATCTCATTTTTTGCTGTTCAGGCTTGAAAGCAACAAAGATCAAATATGAAAAAAGAGACTTCCCGAGAACACTGTTACATATTCCAATGTACAATGTCAACAAAGTCCTTTCTCCTTTATCCTTTCTCCCTCCCTCCTCCCTCTTTCTCCTCCTCTGTCCTTCCTCCTCCCATCCTTTTTCCCCATTCATCCTTCCTCCTCTATCCCTTCTTCATGCTGCTTGCTCCATCCTTCCTCCATTCCTCCTCCTCCCCCACCCCTACTCAGGCCAGGCATGTCACACCTCGGAGCAAACCCCTTTTAGGGCTGCAGGAGAGCGCAGTGTTGGTGAAATAACTTTATTTATTTAGTGATACACTGTGGCTGTGTCACACAGTCCTTACTCAGAGTTACAGTCACACTTACTCGCTACAGCTACAAGACAGCAGGGCCGGACACACGGCAGGAACACATCCAGAAAAACAGAGGGAAGGGAACTATTGGATTCCACTAATTACCCCCCGCCCCTAATTGGGGTCTCCCCCCTCCCGCCCCGGTCCGTGAGTCGAACAACACGAAGGGACAGCAGAGCTGCCCGTGAGGAGGGACAGCAACACCGCTTCTACAGACACGGACACCGACACCAGCACTCCCACGAGGGGCTATGTACAGGGAATTGGGATCAGCTTCCCGAGGGGCAGGGAGGGGGTCGCATCCCAGCTTCCTCCTGCGGGACTCTGCGGTGCACGCAGAGCTCAGGGACGGAGGGACACCCTGAGGAGGGGACAAAGTGCCACTGACCCCCACAGCGTGCTCACTGTCCTCCCACAGCACCCTCCGTGTCACACAGGCCAGCTGGGGAAAGGACAGCGGGATTCTCCTCTCTGCCAATGGACAAACCAGCTTTTTGTGGACCCCCAAAACCCTGGGGAATCTCTGAAATGCTTTATGAGTTATTCAAAACCAGGGTCTGGGGGAAAGGAGGCAGTTCCCAGCCTCCAAGGTTGGAGTGTGACACCAGAATTCCCTTCAGCAGCGTCCAATCCTCCACCCAGTGCAACAGGAATTCCCTGCCACTGCTCCCCTCAGCTTTGGCAAAGGTTAAAACTCCCCCGGGAGTGAAATGGCTGCTGGTCCCATCCCAGAGCTCTGCTCCAAGGCCAGAGGCAATGGGAATGATCCCATCAAGCAGCAACCTGGCAATGAGAGTGGAATGTTGCCCTTCCCTCTGCTGTGGCTCTCCTGCTCCGCATGAAGCAGCTCCCACGACAAAGAACAGGAGAGTGGAGATCAGGGAAGGAGCCTGAGGAGCATCCATGACTCCCAGGGCAGGCATTGCCCCGGCAGTGATGGATCCCAGGTCACTGTTTGCTTCCAGAATCCCTGAGGATCTCTCCCCACCCAGCCTCGGGCTGCAAAGCCTCTGTGTCCTCATCCTCCCGCAGGTCTGCAGCCAACACTCACCAACATCCTGTGGATGGGAAGAGATTCCAGTGAGGGGAGCAGGGATGTCCCTGCCACACAAACAGGAGCAACAAGGCCAAAGCTCTCAGAGTCTGGGGCTCTCCAGGCCCTGTGTGACTCGAGGGGCAAAACTGGGAAGTTGTGAGCAAGAGTTAGCCAGGATCACCCACGGAGAGGAGAAACCAGGGAGCTGATGGGGACTGTGCCCTGCGGGAAGCAAAGCCTGGGAACCTGCAGAGTCCAAAAAGGCAAGTCCAAGTGACTGGTTTAAGCTTAAGGAGTAGCCTTTTTCCAGAGGAAGTGGGGATGCAGGACAGGGGCCTGGAGAAGGCAGGGGGAGGATGCAAGGCAGGAGGGAAGGCAGAAAACCCACCCCCCAAAAGCTTCATTTTTGTCTTCCCTAACTCGGCAGCTTTTCCATGGCATTCACAAGATACATCTGAGCAGGGAGGCTCCAGGTGGGAACGGGGAGAAAGGGAGGAAAGAGAGAAAGAGAGAGAGAAAGTGTGAAGGGCACCGTGGTACCAAAGTGCAACAACATAAAAAAATAAACTTAAAAGACAGGACACTCATTCTGCACTCAGGGCTCAAACCATGCAGTGAGAGGGGCGGCCGGGGCTGCTCCCCACCAGTACACAGGGATTCACTCGCTTGGGAATGGTTTTCCAGCCCCAGAGGGGTGGCAATGAGCAGGGTGTTCTCTGGGAGCCCGGCCGGGCGGGGTGCTGCTGGCAGGGGCTGTTAGCAGGAGCACCCGCTCTCCGTGACTGGCTGCTCGGGGGGCTTCTCTAGTTTGATGTCAATCACTGCAGGGACAGTCAAGGAATCACCCAGCACAGGATTTGGAAGGGTTTGTTTGGGGTGTCTCCATGGCCTGCCTGCACAGGGTGACCGCAAAGGTCTCACGTGGTGAGACCTTTCAGATGGACAAAAAGAATAACAAACTCTGGTGTTTTAAAGCTGTGGAAATTCCAGCCTCAGTTCGAGTGGAGAAGCAAAACTTGTGCTGACCATTAGCTGTGTACATTTATACCTGGCCCACAAACAGGGTCATACAATCCCAGGGTGGCTTGGGTTGGAGGGGACCTTAAAGATCCCTCAGTGCCACCCCCTGCCATGGGCAGGGACACCTTCCACTAGTCCAGGGTGCTCCAAACTCCATCCAGCCTGGCCTTGGACACTTCCATGGATCTAGAGGCAGCCACAGCTTCTCTGGGCAATCTGTGCCAGAGCCTCCCCACCTTCACAGGGAAGGATTCCTTCCCAATATCCCATCTAACCTTGCCCTCTGGCAGTGGGAAGCCATTCCCCTTGTCCTGTCACTCCAAGCCATTGCAAATATTCCCTTTCCATGTTTCTTTTTGGCTTCTTCAGGTCCTGAAGGCCTGAATTAGGTCACCCCAAAGCTTCTCTTCTCCATCCTCAATAATCCCAATTGTTCCAACCTTTCCTCATGGCAGAGCTGCTCCATCCCTCTGCTCACACTCCAACAGCTCCGTGCCCTGTTTCAGCCACATCCCTGCAAACCCCAGCAAGGCCCATCCCCACAACGTGCCAAAGAAAGTCAGTAAGCCAAATTTAACACCAGATAATTGCCCAATTCCATGGGAAAACAAGGATACTGTCTTCTTTGCTCTTCTCTGGTGTGCTGTCCATCCCAGGTAAGGCAGCAGCCACACGGCGGAAAAGCTGGAAAGCAGCAAGAGAGAAGCTCAAGGCTTGTCAGAAACAAGTTCCTGTTAGAAACATCGTTTTACAGCAGGACTCTGAGGCTGAGTTGTACAAACTCCTTAAGTGGGTACTTCAGCAGGCAGAGCAGTGATCAAAAATGTCATCAGAATTTTATGTAGGAAATTTCACAGGTTTTAAAGAACTTGCATTAAAGAACTTATTCAATGCCTACAAAAAAACAGGTTTTTTTTACCTGTTCCTACTTAAAGAGAACATGGAATTAATTGGTAATATTCTTCCAGGGACTCATGGAACTCCCTCCTGCACTTACTAAACATCATTTACCATGTTCAGCCTCTGCTTGTGCACACAGGGTGCACATCTGGGGATTTCTGATCACTCAGCTGGCACTGAATATTTCTTTGTGGAACAACAGAGCTTTTAGAGCCCAGCCCTTCAGATCAGTCCTGCTGCCAAAGAGCCATTCCTCAGCAGAACTGCTGGTTCCAGGGAGCTGCACTTATACTGGGAAGGGTTATGGTATCCCCAGAAAACCTGGAAAATGGGTTTGCATCATTCCTCAGTCAACGTTTGGAGCTCATCCTGCTGCCCTCACACAGCACAGACACTGC